TGAGTTTCGGGTTCAAGATAGATGCGTAGCATTTTTGGGTGATAGAATATTGGATTAAGAAATTTATATAGTTAAACAATAATCCCGTCATTTTTCGTCTCTGCCCCGTGATTTGTTATATAACATGTAGAATGGAAAAGAGTGATGAGGCTTTATATTTAATTAAGCCATTAATTATTATTTGCAAGAATTCTCCATAGGAAAATTAATGTGTTTTGATGACGGATTGAACATAATTTGCTACTCAGTCGTGTCGTGATTCCAAGCATTAACACGTCTGCAATGGAGGTTGAAATTCTTTTGGCGCTAAATGATCTATTAGGTAGTGGGATTGTCAGTGTTTGTGTTTGTGTTTTTATGGAGGAAAAAAACTATTTGAGAAATTATTTTATATTTGCAAGCTGTGTTTTTTTTCTTCTTGAAATATAAGTTATTTATTTTAAGTTTTTCCTTAGAATATAAGTAGGTTTTATAAATTTTATTTTATTTTTTAAAGGCTATTTTTAAGTTGATTTATTATATTAAAATTGGTTTTTTATAGTATCAAAACGAAATTAAGCTTAAACCTTTTTTTCCTTAAATAGTATCATAATAAAAGTTGTTTTAATTATAACCTGCAATAATAATAATTGATTATTCAAATAATTGTTTATTAAAATAACTTTTTTTCGAAGGTTTTTTCCAAACGCTCAATTGTTTTTTGGGTAAGGTCGTAAGTTTTTAATATGGCTAAAGTTTATGTTATCCGAGATGATAGGAAGGTGTAGCTAGCAACTACAGCTCTAGCCGTTTTCTACTGTCTTGTATATTTCTAAATGGTCTACGGTTGCCCTCCTTAGCTGCACTAATTTTAAATGTATATTCGATGAGGTTTGACATTTATTTTTCTTATCTTTGTTATTTTTATTTCTTAGTCATTAACAAATTTTGTTAAAAGCAGTGTTGTAAAGTAGTCGAAATAGTGTGGACACATTTGGAGCGTGAAAAATTACATTAAGATTTTTTTTAAAAAAATAAAGTGTTATAATATAAACTTATGCGGGAAATGTGGGAATTCACGTTAGAAATGGGTAGCCAACACATTTAAAGTGTCCATAGTATAAATACATTTTCACCATTTCAAAACAAGTTCTTATATAACATATTTGACTATTGTCAAACATTGTATTACATGAGATAAAATAAGTATAAATTATCGTATGACACAAGTATTGTGACACAAATTTAATATATGTGAAACAATATATATATATATATAATATATATATATATATATATATATATATATA